TAAATGCTAGTTCCTCAGTCTCTAAATTTCACATTTTTCTAGGTCATCGGGCTAGGTGAACTACAAACCAAACACATTTTCGACATCTCCTGGTTATTTTTGTCAAAATATCACCTCTGAGCAGTGGTCCTTGGTCTGAACTATGACCTGTAACAGGAGCTGATAGATGGCCAATTGGTTCATTGACCACTGAGAAGTAAATGAGTAACTGTAAGTAACAGGGCTGCCTCAGCCACACTCTGCTAACTCTGGTCATCTCCACAAGGTTCCTTGGTCACAACCATTCAGACACTGACCTCAGTTGCTAGTTTATCTGGTATGTCTTCCAATTTATCTCACAATAAACTGTTTAGTAAAAGTACAAGTCCCTTGGGATCAAACCAGTAGAGCTGTACTTGGGAGCCCACACCCCAGACTAGGCAGGTGGAGGTTCAGTCTTCTTACTGATGATTAGAGAGCCCTTGAACAAATTGCTCATCATCTCTGTGTCTCCACTTTTCTGTTGATAAAATGGGGACATAGTGCTTACCTTGGAGAGTACCTGGATACTAATGTGACAATGTCAGCTACACAGACAGAGCCCTGTGATTATTGGGCAGGATCAATCGGTTTCACTTTCTGAGGGACATTTTCCATATGTCCCTTATTTCCAGGCATGAGCTTCTCAACTTCAGTACTCTTGCTATTTTGGATCACATGATTAGTGGTGGTGGGGTCTGGTGTGGGGTCTATCTTGTGTATTGTAGCACATTTAGCACCATCTCTGGCCTCTATCCACTAGATGCCAGTAGCACTTCTCCCTCACAACTGAAAAAAATGCCTATAGACATTGCTAAATGTCCCTTGGGGGACAAAATCACCACCTTCATTGAGAATCACTGGTCCGGAGCTTCCTTGTCTTGGGGATCCAGAACTTTCCAGAATTACTTCCCTGGAAACTTCGTCATTGGTTCCTTGGTATTATCTCATGGATGAGAGTTTATTATTTTATGAGAGTTTATTATTTTATAACTTTAACAGTAAAGTTTTGTTACTTACAAAGAATTACTCATATTCTGCTGCTGCAAGCATAAATTTCTATGATTTTTTTTAAATGTCTTTTTCTCAGCAAGAGGGAAGGGGGCAGTGAACAAATTATGTATTTGATTTGTGAATTCAAAAATTACTACCAGCATTTATGAGGAATGGATTCTGATTATTTTGAGTTTGGGCCATTCCAGGCTCCCCTGGGATGCCCTTCAGCTGGGTGGTCAGTTGACTCTACAGACTGTAGAATATGCCCCTTGGAAATCCCTGGTGCTTGGGATTCCCAGTATGTTAAGTGGAATAAGGTTGAAAGTAATGGTTTACTGAGTGCTTAATATGTTCTAGGCCCTCTGCTAGGATCTACAGATATTCATTTCACTTACAGCTCATGACAAAAATCTTTCCATTTTATAGATAAGGACACATTCAGAAGTGGGCTAATTGGTTCAAGATACAATCACTGTGGTGACTCTGGGACTGATATAGTCCAGACTCTTCTGGTTCTCCTATTGACATCTGCATTCCCACTCAACTCTAGGGCCCTAGGTGTATATGCACTGCCTAGACTCTCCAGTACCTGTGTGATTCTTGGCCTTAGGCTCATGTCCTTTAAATGTTGCTGCAGGAAAAAAGGAAGGAAGGGAGAAAGAAGGATATCTCCACTCTGGCTCCAAGGTTCTCATCATAACTAAATTAATCTTTGCGATCTCTGAATTGTCAGGGTGAAAGGGTAATGGTAATTATAATAGTAAAATATTACCACTTCCAATGCTGAATGAGTTTAAAAAGTTTTGAGACCCATTCATGTAATTTTTATCTCATGTAATCATCAAAATATTTCTGGTATAGGGCAGATATCAAGGTCACCCGCTAACATGGCTGGAACTAAAACTTCAATCTCAAAACTCTTAAACTTGTTAGGAGAGAGAAGAACTGCAAACCTTATCACTTTATGGGAGGAATAAAAACATTTCATCAAAAATTATCTACTATGCCACAATGATGCAGAAGGAACCAGAAAGGAGAACTAGTTTTCTATTTCCATGCAGAGTGCTTAAATAGGAACTGCCTGTCAGCAGTTATAGGAAAATATTGCATTTGATTGCTGTCCTTGCTTACTTCTGCTTCTTTTAAGTTTATCTTCCTGGGCTTATTTTCCTAGTAAAAAACTTAAAATTCTTTGATTTCACTTCTCTTATTTACAAATTTACAAGTAAGAGAAGTGGTTTAAAAAAATAGACATTAATATTTCAGTGGTGTTGTGAGATACACTTTTTATAAGAAATGTGGAGTTCTTTCTAGATAGATCTTCCCAGACCACTTGATTTTACTTCCATATAACTCCACAAAGCAATACTAAAACTAGTCAGTCATATTGAGGAGTTTGTTCAATCTTTATTTACTTTGAATTTGTTGCAATTGTGGCCTAACTCGAACCAACAACTGAATTGTTTACCAAAATAAATCAAACAGAGAGTTATTTAGCAACAGCTTTCTGGAATGTTTCTGTCTGGGGATTCTCTTACACAGGTTTTCTTTATATCCACTGAAGAGGAACAGGTATGCTTCTTTTATATTTAAATATCATAAGCCTTAACTTACACAGACTTTCTTTTACCTTTTATTGAAATAAAAACTCCTATTACCTTTTGGAGACTTCTATTGCACATTTCTTTAAGAAAAATGTATATTAGAGCCTAATGACACAAACTATATATATATAAAGTCATAATTAAAGAATTATGTTTTTGTGAAAAAGAATATTCAAATAAGGCACCCAGAAGTCTGAAAACAAAACTTGAGTCAAGGCATCCTACATGAAACGTGCTTACATTAAGCAGCAAATGTTTTTTTTTTGGGGGGGGG